ACATTATTGATTAAATATTAATAAAACAGTAATATTTATTAATGTTATTATGTATATATATATATATATATTTTTTTTTTTTTTGAGATGGAGTTTTTCCCTCTTATTACCCAGGCTGGAGTGCAATGGTGCAATCTCGGCTCACCACAACCTCCACCTCCTGGGTTCAGGCAATTCTCCTGCCTCAGCCTCCTGAGTAGCTGGGATTACAGGCACGCGCCACCATGCCCAGCTAATTTTTTGTATTTTTAGTAGAGACGGGGTTTCACCATGTTGACCAGGATGGTCTCGATCTCTTGACCTCGTGATCCACCCGCCTTGGCCTCCCAAAGTGCTGGGATTACAGGCTTGAGCCACCGCGCCCGGCCCCATAATTAATATATTATTAAATATTTTATATTTATGTATTTGTATAATTATACATTACTATGTTATAATAATGTATTATTAATTACATGTTAATAAGATATTCATATTAATTTATTATATTTACTAATGCTATATATTTATTTGTATATTATTAATGTGTATTAGAAATATATTTATTAATGTATATTATAAATATATTTATTAATGTATATTAATATACATTTGTTAATGTATATTAATATAGTCATATAAAATATATTGTTTGTTAATATATTAACATATATTAATTTATAATTGTATAATGTATATTACTATACATTAATATATAAATACACATTTGTATATTATATGCATCAATTAATGCATATTAATGTATGTTAATAAATTTATTTATGTATATTTGTTAATGTTATGATTAATAAATATACATGTGTATGTACATTAACCTATGTGAATAGGTAAATGTGTATATTCCTAATAACAGAGCCTGAAAATATCATAAAGCAAAATTTTATAGTAAAAAAGGAGAAACCAAGAAATCAACCATCATAATTGGAGATACTAAAATCCTGCTCTCAGTAGTTGACCAAAGTAGGCAACAGAAATCGGTAAAAATATAAAAGACTGCAACAACCCTAGCGAGTACCTTGATGTAACAGAACGCATAGAATACTCACTCAACAATCGTGGAACACTCACCCTTTGTGAGTGCATGTGAAACATTCCTCAAGACAGACCATATGCTGGGCCATAAAAAGAGCTGTAATCCATTGCAGAAGACTAAACGTCCAGAATATGTTCCCTGACCACAATGGAATTCAGTTAGAAATCAGCAAGAAAATATCTAGAAAAAAAATCCCAAGAGACTTGGAAATTAAGGCACACTCTTCCAAATCATCCATGGGTCACAGAAGCAACCACAGGGGAGCGGTGGATCAAGGAGCAAGGACACTGACGCCTCCAGAAATACAAGACTGGCTCAGTCGAGCACGGGAGTCCTTGGATGACGAAGCACACAGCGGCCCCGCGGTCCAGACAAGCCCAGAGCTGCGGTGCTGTCTCTCTGGCCGAGGTGGTGGCAGAGGTTGTTGGAGTTTCTCTTCTCTGACCTCCCCTCCCAGCACCGACTAGAAGCCCAGCCTTCTGGGACTGCCAGCTGGAGGGAGCCTCATGCCGAGGCAGGCAGGGAAGGTGACCCTTCCTCCTGGTCTGGGAATCATTTTGTATGGCTAAAATAGAAGCAGCCCTTTTATCCAAGGAGAGGGGCATAATCACCAAATGCGCATGAAGCCGCTAAAACTCTGGGAGCCGACGGCCCTCTGGTTTAATTACACAGTGGGGCCATATTCCACCAAAAGCAATTACATTTTAGATCTTCTCTCACACACACATACAGGCACGTGCACGTGCACACACACACACACACACACACACACACACATGCCATGCCCAGCCTCCAGGGGCAGCCAGCAGGACTTCCCAGCCCCACCCGCCCTCCGTCTCTGAGAGGGGAGTATATATTTAGCCTTTTGCAGGGTGAGGATATTATTGAATTAGATATTTGTTCACGTAGTCCAATATGCCTCAGTCCACAAGAACAGAGTGTAAGTTTCCTTCCCTCCTGTCCTTTCTGCACACTACCTAGCTCCCCAGATGCAACCAGGGTTGTCAATCTCTTGCATATGCTTCTGAAAACCATTCACACCATAAGCCCGTCTATCCCTCCACAGTCCTTATTCCGGAAGGGATAATGTGAGCCTTTTGTATCATCTGTTTGGTAAGTAGGCAACCAGTTCTCCTCCCAGCAAACAAGTTGGCCTCCTTCAGGAGAGCTCCCTGTTGGAAGTCAAATAAAGGGTCTGTCTCCAACGAGGGCCCGTTCCAGGTAGCAGTCGCTTGAGCCACAGCCACTGTGCCCAGAGCTGGTTAATGAGCGGGCCTCGAGGTCTCCACCCTCCCCAGTTGCAGCCGTGAAAGGCCCCCTTTGTGACAGGGGAGGGCTCCAATGGGGCACAATGATCTCTTGTCGGAAAGGCCTCCTGGAGCTGTCCAGGAGCAGCTGAGAAGGAAGGGAGCAATTTTGCAGCCGCCCCCACGGCCTAGTGGAATCTGTGGAGACTCACGTTTCCAGGCCCAAGCTGGCAAGTGGGCTCCTTCCCCAGGCAGACCCGACCTCTGCCTCGAGAAGGCCAGGGGTGCAGGTCACAGAGCCTCAATGTCACCCTTCTCCAAGATAGGCCAGCCCTGGTGCGGGGGCCACAGGGGAGCAGCACCAGGCCTCCGCCAACCCTCTTGGCCACCAGAGGAGCAAGGCTCCCAAAAGGGTGTGATGGCCTCAGATCTGTAGTTCCAGGTGATTCCATTCTTCCTGTTATTCTACAACTAAGTGCTTCACACATTTGGGAAGTACTATTAAATACGGGTCTGTCAGATGGTCTGTGGTCAGAGCTAATTTCTTCCAGTTTGCAGAGAGTCTAGTTACCAACCCCTCCAGAGGAGCTGTCAGAATTGCTGTGACTGCAGATGCCACTTGCAAAGTTTCTGCTGGCTCCAAGGCCCGGGCCCTGCCTTGGAACAGACCTGTGCCTTTGCAGCATTTCTTTAGAATTCTCTCCAAGATCACAGTTCTCTACTGGTTGGAATTTAAATCCAAAATCCGGGGCAATTGCGTGATCACTGAAAACCTAACAGAGTAATTATTTTCATTCACTCCAGTGGGATGAAAGTTTGAGATTTTATGTTGTCTTAGGGTTATCCCAAAGGCAAACCTATAATTGATTTTTTTGAAAAAATGGATCTGACATTTTAAACATTCTTTTCACATTTCTCCAAGGCATTTGACAGACACAAATTCTCCCAACATTCCAGAGAAAAGAGATGGGGATTATACTATGCTCTGGGTAAGAAGATGCATCAGCAAGAGTGGAATGAGGTTTCCATTTGTCAAAAGAAGTCAGCATTGTGGCAAAGGCTCCCGGGTGTGTGTCCTGCTCCCAGCTTTCAGCCCCAAGGCTGACACAGGGACAGATAGTGACATATGATGGCATGTACTCTGGGATCAAGAGAACAGAATGTAGATAGAGCCAGAGGGCATGCGTTCAAATCCTGGCCCTCCCTGTTCTAGCCACGAAAACCTGAGCAAGTTACCTGACTTTGGGCGTCTTCGTGTTCTCATCTGTAAAATGGGTGTAATAATGTAATAGTATCTAACTATTACTTAAAGAAGTTAATACTCAGAAGTGGGTTAAAGGCCCTTGGGGCATAATATTTATTTATTATATATTTTTTATTTTTTTCAGACAGAGTTTCTTGTTGACCAGGCTGGAGTGCAGTGGTGCAATCTCAGCTCACTGTGACCTCCACCTTTTGGTGTCAAGCAATTCTGTCTCAGCCTCATGAGTAGCTGGGATTACAGGCACCTGTCACCACACCAGCTTTTTTTTTTTTTTTTGTATTTTTCGTAGAGAGGGGTTTCACCATGTTAGCCAGGCTGGTCTCGAACTTCTGACCTTGTGATCCGCCCACCTCAACCTCCCAAAGTGCTGGGATTACAGGTGTGAAGCACTGCGCCCAGCCCTTTGGTGCACAATAAATGCCCAGTAGGTGTCGCTATGCTCATCCTCCCTTCCTGCCCTTCTTTCACCCATGGCAAGGTGCCACTCTCTGGAGGAGGCTGTCCACCTGTGGGTTTGCCAGGTGGCTGAAAGGCCAGCAAAGGGCCAAGGCTCTGACTTTTTGTCCCATTGATAAGCTCAGACCTAGAGAACAACAAAAACCTTAAAGTGTCAGTCAGCACCTCAGTATATCCCTACGTGGCGGTGCTACAAGGCTGGGCCCAACAGCAGACACAAGCAGAGGCTGGGCCTGCAGGGAAGAGGGACCCAGTCAGGCACAGTGTGATCCGACCTTGGCCCCTGCCATGGGCAGGTTTATGTGTCAGCGTGGCCAGGCTCTAGTGCCAGTGATTCAATCAAACCCTCGTCTAAATGTTGCTGCCAAGGTATGTGGCGGATGTGCTTAACCTCTTCCATCAGTCAGCTTTAAGGAAAGCAGATTACCTTTGACAGTGTGGGTGGGCTCACCCAATCAGGTGGAGGCCTGATAAGCAAAATCCAAGGTATTCCTGGGATGGAGGAATTCTGCTTCAAGACTGCAGCATCAGCTTCTACCTGGGTTTCCAGCCTGCTGGCCTTCCCTGTGGATTTCAGACTTGCCAGCCTCCACAGCCATGAGAACCTGTGTGTGTGTGTGTGTGTGTGTGTGTGTGCGTGTGCACGTGTGTGTGTGTGTGTGTGTGTGTGTGTGTGTGTGTGTATTCTGTTTCTCTGGAAACCCTGATTGCTAATACCACTCCTACGACTAAGCTGGGCGGGAGGTGTGAGGGGAGGTCTTCTCATCACTGTTGGAATGATAAAGTTCTAAGCCGCTTTTTGAGTGCTAGCTGATTGCTGGGCAGAGTGCTAAGGGGTTCCACTGTCTCATTTAAGCCAACTCGTCACCTCCTTTCGTTTCTCAAAACTTCCACATGAGACACTGCTGTATCATAAGACTCATGCATTTAAAATTTTAAGGTTGATGCTTACCTGGCAGGGGAGATACCATGGTCACGAAGGTGGTTTCCCCAGGGCGAGGCTTATCCATTGCACTCCGGATGTGCTGACCTCTGCGATTTCCCCACATGTGGGAAACTCGACTGTATAATTTGTGGTAGCGGGGGGCTGCGTTCGCGCTTTCCCCTGAAAAAAAAAAATTTAAGGTTGTTCCCAAATTACTTAACCTGGAGAGTTCAGCTGCTGATACTCTCAGCAATAACAGATTTAGTCCAGAGGGTGAAAAATGTTACTTCCTTTTGTTCCCCCATTCATCCATCAGTGGGTAATTGGGTCACCTCCACCTCTGGGCTGTTGTGCACGGTGCTGCTGTGAATATGTGTGCAAATATCTCTTTGAGATCCAGTTTCTGTCTTTTTGTTTCTTGTTTTTTTTAAGCAATGGGTTATCTCTATCATCCAGGCTGGAATGAAGTGGTGTGATCACAGCCCACTACAGCAATGAACTCCTGGCACAAAAGATCCTCCCTCCACAGCCTCCTGAGTAGGTAAGACTACAGATGTGAGCCACCAAGCTCTGCCCCATTTTCAGTTCCTTTAGATATACACCCAGAAAAGGTGTCTGGGGCATTAGTATTCACATTTTCTCAACAGTTCTAGTGAGGCTGGACCTATTTTCATATCCATATTGGCCAATTCACGTTATTTTTAGCATAGCAGTTTAGCATGATATCATTGTGTCTGTGTCTGTATGTCCATAATATCACACACTGCTTAGCTGCAGAGATGATGCCTGGCACATTTAGCCCATGGTCTGGCCCTTAGCACATACTTTTACTTGCTGAGTGGCAAATAAGAGATGCTGAGCCTGGTCCCAAAACAATTTTTTTTTTTCATTTTTAGTAGATATGGGGTTTCACCATGTTGATCAGGCTGGTCTTGAACCCTTGACCTTCTGATCTGCCCACCTCAGCCTCCCAAAGTGCTGGGATTAAAGGCATGAGTCACTGCCCCTGGCTTTTTTTTTTTTTTTTTTTTTTTGCATCAATTGTATACTTTGGTGCTAGGCACTGTAGCAAGCATTTCTCTATGAATTCAGGCCACCATAAGATCTAGGGCTTTTCCAGGCAAAGACTCATCAGCTTTTCTCCAGCAATGTCCCAGTCAGTGGAAGAGTCGGGAGATGCTGAGCCTAGTCCCAGAAAGCCAGTCCTGTCCTTCACAGAGAATGTTTGTTATCACCCAGCTATTCATTTCCCTAATATCCATTATTAGAATTTTCTGCCAGGCAAATGGCCATTGCCAATAAAGGCTACATTTCCCAGATTCCCTTGCAGCTTGTATGGTCATATGACCAAACACTGGCCAATGGGGTGTGAGTGGAAGAGGAAGGTCATGCCCTCAAGGGAAGGGATATACGAGGGGTGGCAGCCCAAACATTGAACAACCAATAGAGCACAGGCAGTTAGAATACATGGCACCAGGAGGAGCCTCTCCACCGTGCCAATGTGCACCAACCTCACCATTAGCCATGGACAGCTCTCTCTTTGGTCAGAAAGAGGACTTGGAGGTGAGCCATGCAGATGGGGACAGCAGCCTATGGTTGGCAGAGGAACCAGAAAGACAGAGATTTCGGATCTCTGGCACAGGGAACTACCACTCGGACCTGCACACTGCGCACCTGGAGTGCTGTGAATGAGCAAGACTTAGTTTCCTCTCATTCAGATCTGTGCGGTTCTGGATCTGCACGGTAGCAGCCAAGCCCATACTCCAGACACATCTCCTACTCTCTCCTCTTCTCCTCCTGCACTAGTTTTGCTTTCCAGGAAAAGAAAATGGAAAATTTTCCTACAACAGCTTCTGTCATCTCAGTGCAGCTGCAGGGCATGGAACAGCTATTGCTGGGTGTAGCGGGCTGAATGGTAGCCTTCAGTCACTACGCCTCACCAAGAAGAGACGGCCACATCCTAACCCTGAGCCTGTGCATGAGTTCTTCATTGCAAAAGGAGTCTTTGCACATATTATCAGTTAGGCATCTCAACATGAGATCATCCTGTTTGGGGAGGTTCTTGAGTCCTATGACAGTGCCCTTATAAGAGAGAGAAGAGGAAGACACAGAGACAGAGATTGGTGCGAGGTTACGAAAGCCCAGGAGTGCCCGGAGCCACCAGGAGCTGGACGAGGCAGTAAAGAGCCACGCTGGAGACTCCAGAGAAAATAGAGCCCTGCTGACAGCTTGCTTTCAGGCTCTGGCCCCTAGGACTATGAGAAAATAACTTTCTGTTGTTTTAAGCCACCAAGTTTGTGATGGTAATTTTCTTTGGCTGCCCCAGGGCACTCTCCCACACCACAGTGACTATTTTTCTCTGCCATCTCGGACATTTTTGTCTCCTGCAGAAGAGAGTGTGGCCCTATGTAAAAAGCATGGATGAGTAGTCCAGGGTAGTTGCTTGGTGGTCCCACAGACTTCAGATGCCCCTGGGTTCTCAGATTGCATCTACCCCATGAGGTTCAACCGTGAGAACACCAGCCTCACCCTGCCCAGCCACACCCACCCAGCCTCACCTGGCTCCTCTCAGCCTTCCCTTCTGAAGGATTCCCGTGACAGGTGCAGGCATGGATTCCTCTCCTTGCGGGTTCTGTGAAACTCCACAACCTGCTGCAGAGGTCTTGACTCCTGCTATGGAAAGGGTGGGTGGTCAGAATGCAGGACTGTCTCCTCAAGACACCAGGGCATTGGGATGACACAGACTCAAATAGCCTGTTTTGGAAATCAAATCCTTTCTCTCTGCATTCCAACCATAACATCCTAATCCTTCCTGGGGTGAACTGCTGCCTCTCAAGGAAATGCAAAAGGAGTCAGACATTCAAGCAACGTGTTAGTTACCAAGCACTTGCAGCTAACTGTAGGAGAGACCTGACCACTGTGGCCTAAAAAAAATAGGGCTCTAGTGTCCCATGCACGTGTGCTTACCAGAGGCCCAAGGAGATGGCTCCGGGATGGAGTGGGAGCTCCGCAGAGCCCTTGGATGTGGATTCTTCATTCCTCTGCCCTGCTGTCCTGTTCTTGCGGACTGAGGCAGGGGAAGGACCCACTTCCCTCTCATGGGGTGTCCTGCTTGGATGACCTCGCATTTGTGGGGTGACTTCATGCCTGTTGCCTTGCTTCTGGAGCCTCTGTCAAAACGTCCAGATGGCAAGATCCCAGGCATCCAGCAAGCTGGTCTCATGGCTATTGACTCCTAACAGAAAGAGTAACTGTTCCCTTGGAATTTCCTGAAGTCTTCCCAGCCCTCAGGCCAGGCTGCAGCCTGGGGCTCAGCAGTCAGGAGAGCCTGACTCTCGATTCACCTGTTGCTGTGTGACCTGGGCAAGGTGACTTGGCCTCTTCTCAGTGAAATGGGACAAATGTATTGTTCCCACTGAGGGTTAAACATAATGTGCCTGGCACTCCCCACATGGACGTAAATGTCAGCAGCTGAGGTCGGGGCCCAAGTCCCATGTGTCTCCACTGGCATTGCGTGCTTGGTCCATGAGGACGCAGACCCAGGACCTGGGAGCCAGCACTCTGCTAAGTGCTGCGGAGGCAACAACCTCCGGGAACAAGAAAGAATATTCCCTGCCCGCAGGACCCTGACCAGAGGGGCACTGGACACTAAAGAAGCAGGATAACTTCAGTGACAAGTCGAGTACCATGCAGAGAGCACGATGAGGAGCAGCGAGGGTGGGGAGGGCGCCCTCGGGTGGGGACGGCCCCTATGAAGCCAAGGGTGAGTTCAGCGGGCCAGCCCCCCATTCCAGGCTGCTAAGCCCCCTTCCTCCTCCTTCAGCTGGATGGTGAAGCCCTGGAGTTCTAATCCTATATGTGCTACAGCGGGAAAGTGACTTTACCTCTCTGTGCCTCAGTTTCCCATGTAGAATGATGACAATAGTCTGGCATGCTGGAACTCTGGAGGAGTAAGTACATAAGCACACAGAGAATACTGAGAACAGTGTTCCCAAATGCAGGTGTGCTGGGAACATTGGGGAATTTCAAAGGCACGAGAGCTGCCTGCTTGACACAGAAGGATTGCAGGTTCCAGCTGGCATGTCCTGAGTCTCAAGGACGGATGGGTTCTCAGGAGTGGAATCTCATTCCAAAGGGTTGAGGCTCCTGCCTACAGCAAAGCTGCCCTTAAACCCAGATTGCACCATGAACCAGTCAGCAGAGAGCCAGCACTGTGGCCCAGGAACTAGCTCATGGGTGTGTATTTCTCGGAAAGGCTCCTACTCCCATCCCTCCAAATAAGCAAAACCCCAAACCCCACAGATGCACACCACACACATCACTGCCTGCAACCTCAGCCCTGTCTCCAAGCTGGTGGGAATGGTTGATCATTTAAGTGCATTGAACCCTTTCTGTTTGTTTCATGAAAAAAAAAATAATTTGTTTGCTTTAGCCACATTGTTGTTTAAAAGAATAAAATAATTAAAACAAGAGAAACCCTATGTAGTCTTGGATTTTTCTCTTTATCAGCACATAAAATGTGTGGATGATATCTGTCATTTTTTTAACCAATATGATTTAATCAGTGGTATCGTTGCCCATTGAGTTATAATGCTTTATCTTTTATTTAACAAATGTACATGCACATCTATATATGCAAATTAGATGCCTAAATCTGTATTCCTTTTCTGTGGCTGCCGTTACAAATGACCACCAACTGGATGTTCCCCCAACAGAGGAAACGTTTTCTCATTCAGTTCTGGAGGCCAGAGCTCCAAAAGGTGATGCCGGGCTGGCTCCTTCTAACATCTCTAAGGGAGAGTGCTCCAGGTTCACACTCCCAGGGTTGCAAGCATCCTGGGCATTCTCCAGCTTGCAAAGGCATGTCTCGAATTTCGGCCTCCACCATCACATGGCCTTCTGTTTGTGCCTCTATCTGTGCCCTTTCTCTGTGTAAGTCTCTATCATTTTCTAAATTACTTTATTTGCCCATCTTTGTCCAAGCTGGATAAAAAGCCAGGACAGCAGGCATCTGTTCTATCCTAGAATGTAACGGTCATCCTAGTTCTGCTGTCCCACCAAGTCTGACTTAGGTGTCACGAGCCAGTGGCTCTGGCTTACTCACAGCAGTTGGTACTCAGGCCTCTAAACGGACCCTTCCCTCCTCCACCTGTTTCTGGGGACTCCACTTTGTGAAGCAGAGTGGCAAGCATCCATGCAGCAAGCCCCCTTTCCTGACTACTTACCTTTGAGGATGTAAACACAGAAGTCAGGTGACCTGGAGGACTCATGGTCAGTTAGCAAGGGGGCTTGGATTTGAACCCTGGGCACTGACCTTCAGAGTCTGAGTTTGTATCTATGGTGCTCTAGTGCCTCTACCCTAGTGGCTTATTGTTGTTGTTGTTGTTTTGGGGGTTTTTTGTTTTGTTTTTTTTTGAGACAGAGTCTTACCCTGTCACTCAGGCTGGAGTGCAGTGGCATGATCTCGGCTCACTGCAACCTCTGCTTCCCAGGTTCAAGAAATTCTCCTGCCTCAGCCTCCTGAGTAGCTAGGACTACAGGCACATGCCACCGTGCCCAGCTAATTTTTGTCATTTTAGTAGAGATGGGGTTCCACTATATTGGCCAGACTAGTCTCGAACTCCTGACCTCATGATCTACCTGCCTCAGCCTCCCAAAGGGCTGGGATTACAGGCATAAGCCACTGAGCCCGGCCAAGGGTGAGTGCTATAGAAGGAAACAGAACACACCTTTCCTTCAATGCTTTTCACTGCTGCATAGGATTGCCTCCTATGCATGCACTGTGGGGCTCTTACCCACTCCCCTGGAAAGGACCACCTAGGTGGCCTCCAGCGCTAGGCTTACCCAAACCACATGCTGATGAATATCCTCATACATGGCACCTGTGGGGAAAAACCCGAGGTGTACAGGCTCAGAGCAGCAGGTTGCAGGATATTCCCATAATTAACTTTTTGAAGCACAAAGTATATTCCTCCTGTGATGTCCTGAAGCTGTGCAGGCTCCTGCTTCTAAACTACACAACTGCAAACCAAAAGGTGCTTTGAGGAGCTGTCATGGTGATGTGACTGGCTAATGGGAGTGTGTACCAAAAAGAAATTTGCAAATGGTTTCATGCTGGACAAATGTGAGGAGCTGTCATCACATCACTCACATTGTTGCTGAACAGCAGGATCTGTCTTTAGGGTGAAGTTTGGGCCATTTCCATGGAGGCGCTGCACCTGCCACAATCTGGTTTGTGGATGCGGAGTGCCCCTGGAATCCAACCCACAGGCAGGAGCCTAGGACCAAAATCAAGCCAGCTCCTCTGGCATGTCAGTATGCAGGCAGAGGGAGAGGCTTTGATTCACAATCGCTCAGTGCTCTCACCACAGAGCCCTAATGCACAGGCCAAGGCAAGGGAAGCAGGGTTCAGAGCTGATTCTTAAATCCTGTTGGACTCCAAGCACACAACCCACTCTCCACAAGCAAGCACAGTGCACTTCCTCAGGTAGAATGTAGCCCAACAATTTACTCCTTGGCATGCAGCTCCAAAAATGGTCCCCAACAATGCTACCCCTACCTCCAGCACATGCCACCGCTCCTGCCCAGAGACGGAAAAATTACTAAGCTGGCCTCTAAATGCTCCGGTCAATACAGTGATGGCCTGGGACATCTGAACCCTGGTCTTAAGAAGGCTAGAAGCTTCTACTTCCCTCCTCTTAGAATCCAGCCCCTGTACTGTTAGAAGCCTAAACCACACAGTGAGGATACATAGAGGTGAGCTGTGGAGTTCTGCTCAAAAGCCCAGCAGAGCTCCCAACAGCAGCCAGCACCACTGATGTCCACATGAGCAAGACGCCCTGAACCCTCAGCCCAGCTGAGCCTGTGAATGACTGCAGCCCTGGCACCATCACATGAAACAGAAGAACTGCCCAGCTGAGCCCATTCCCATGCACCAGATCCTGAGAAAAAAGAAAATGGTTATTGTTCTAAGGACTCAATTTTAGGATGGTCTGTTGCTACACGTTAGAGAGATCTGAAACAATCTCCAACAGAAATGCATGCAGAAGGTAGCCAAGAGACATCCGAGAATACGCAGAGCAGCACTACTGATGATGGTCTCCAACTCAAAATAACTATGTTTCCCTCAACAGTAAAAGGAATAAACAGCCTGTGTCCCAACAACAATGGAATACTGCATGGTGGTGAAAAGGAATAAACTATGGCTCCATGCAGCAATCTGGCTGATTCTCATTAACACAGCACAGAGTGAAAGAAGCCAAGCACATTCTGTATGATCCCATTTATACCATGTTCAAAATTAGGCAGGACTCTCTCTGTGTCTCCAAGTCAGAAGATGAGTGACCTGTGAGTGGCGGTGACAGGAGGGGGCTTTTGGAGGATGGAGATGATATGTCTGGATCGGCACACTGCCTGTAGAGTGTGTTTCCTTTGAGAAAGGTCACTGAGCCAATATGTGGACTTCTCTGTATGCCTGTGATGTTTCAATAAAAAGCCAACCTTAAAATAGAAATCAGATTTTTTTCTGGTTATCTATGACTGCGTAACAAATCATGCCAAAACACAGTGGCTTTAAACAGCCGTCTCATATTACTTCTCATAGTTCTCGTGGGTCAGGAATTCTGGAAGGAGCAAGGCTGGATGGCTCTGGCTCAGGATCTCTCACATACTCAATCCTCAAGGAGGGCTGGACTGAGGTCATCTGAAGGCTTCTTCCTCCCCTGTTTGGCACCCAGGCTGGGAAGACCCAAACAGCAGAGGCTAGAGTGGCAGAGGCTTCTGGAACTCTCTGTTACCTTTCTGTGTTCTCTCCACATGGGCTTTCCTGCATGGAGGCTTCAGAATAGCTGGACTCCCTGCAAGGCAGCTCCCAAGGTGTGCATCCTGAGAAAGGGCCCAATCAGACGCTTCTCTGCTCACCTGACCTTGATAGTCACAGTGTCATTTCTGCCAGTCTAGCCATCCAAAAGATCTCAAAGGCCTGCCCAACTCAAGGGAAGGAGTCCAAGACCTCATCACCCAGAGAAGAAGCATCAAAGAGTTTGCAAATGTGCTCTCTAAACCACCAACAGAGTATGTCATCCTCATTAATATGCTTCAATGCTTAACCATCCCTTTTAAAATAAAATGCATGCTCTTCCTGGCTCGACAGCCTGGCAGGATCACCACAGCCCCTGCCCACTCTTCTCATCCCTACTTTCCATCCTCTCTGCTTTCTCAGATTTCTGCTCCCCCAATCCCAGCACACTGGCCTCCTCCCAGATCCTGGAAGACACCACATTGCTATGACCTCAGGGCCTTTGCATGCACTATGCCTTCTGTCTAGGACATTCTTCTGCATTGTTTCCTGTCTGACTCTTTATGATGCAAGCCTTGACTCAAATGACACCAGGGCAGGTGTGTTCCTCATGCCATCACTCTCTACCTGGTTTGCCTTCTTCATTGTACTTAGCTCTATTTGAAACCATCTTTCCTGTGGATTTGCCCATTCATGTTGCTTATTGTCTGCCTCTTCTACCCAGAGTGACAGCTCCTCATTAACCACGAGGGCAATGCCGGGTACTTACTAAATATCTGTTGAATGAATAGACAACAGATGGATGCACTGATGAAAATTAATGCAGACTGATGCTTCCTTTGGAAGTATAGTGTGTGCCTGGTACTGTGCTAGGTACTGGAGATGTGAAATGCACAAGGCGCAAGCAGACAGCAGCTGACACCTCCAGCTAATTTGTCACCCAGGCTGGGTTGCAGTGGCGCAATCACTCCCTTTTTGGATGTGTCTTCTTAGCCTGGAAAGTGAATTTAAAAAAAAATTTCCAGGCTCCCTTGTAACTAAGGGGCTGGAGGTGAATGAGATTCAGCCAATAAGACACAGGCACAGGAGACCTGGGGCTGAGACCAGCCAGTGTCGCAGCATGGAAACTCAAGGTTTTCTGTGGTAGCATTCCAGCATCCAGGCACCTTGGGGTGCCAAGGAACAAGTGAATGGAGGCTTCCTGACCCTGGATTGCAGCCAGAGTTGTTTGTGTTATTTTTCATTTTATTTAATTTATTATTATTATTTGAGATAAAGTCTCACTCTGTTGCCCAGGCTGGAGTACAGCAGGGTGATCATGGCTCACTGCAGGCTCAATCTCCTGGGCTCAAGCAATCCTCCCACCTCAGTCTCTCAAGTAGCTGAACTATAGGCACTCACCACCACACCTGGCTAGTTCTCGTTGTTGTTTTACCTTTTTTTTTTTTTTTTTTTGTAGAGACAGGGTCTCCCTATGTTGCCCAAGCTGGTCTTGAACTCCTGGGCTTGGTCTCCCAAAGTGCTGGGATTACAGGCATAAGCCACTGTCCCACTCTAAAATCCAGCATGGATTTTGGCCCCCCATGAGATCAAGACAGATGATTTTAATTTGTTTTTATTACAGAAAAAATAAAATATACGAAAGTAAAGGAAATAGTATAACCAACCTCCATTTGCCCAGTAGTCAGCAACAACCACTTACCAGCCCACTGCTATTCCGGTCCAGTCCTGTTCCACCTCCGTCCCTTCCCATGGACTCTTGCCTTGGTTTTTCGGACGTCAATCCCATCCACACATATTTCACTTGGTGTCTTCCGAAGACACGGACAGAGCTGGTTTTGATGGTGACGCAATTGCTGGCAAATCGGTTTGCATCCAACATTGTCTTTAAATTTGGGTCACCTCTTCACAAATCCTGTTTGGAAAAGTGCTCTTATGAGGAACAGACGCTGCAGATGAGTCACAAGCACTAAAACACAACTACAAACAGGCACGCCTATCCTTTCTTGTTTGGAAAAAGCTGTTAGAACTTCAGGAGTGATGCTAGGGTGTCCTGCAGTCCACTGCTGACCATAAATGTGACGTGTAGATTTAGTCATTTAGCTTAACACGGCCCAGCCTGGCCCCAACCCCCTCCACTACTGTTGATGCTCCCTCATCCTGCTTCTCATGTTCAACGTCAGAGGCGGCAATGAGCACACGCCAGGTGCCCTGCAAACTCGGACTCTGGAATCGAATGCCTGCATGAGACTCAGCTCCACAACCTCTCCTCCCCTCCATGTCCTCATCTGAAGTGCCCCTTGTTATGCTGCTTCGGGGATTGTGTGAGATCACAAGCTGAGCACTCTGCGTGGTGCCTGACCGCAGAGAGTGCCTCACAAACATCACAATGCTGCCTTCCAAACTGAGTGAGGGTTCCCTGTGGCCAGATGCTGGCTGGCTGTGCCCAGTGCCAGGCTCCCTGTAGGTCAGCTGTAAGCGTCTGTGTTAAACCCAGAGAGCAGGCGCGAGTATGATCCCCAAAGGGAAAGGATTGCCCGAGCAAGGCTAATCCTCCTGTATCTCCCGTTATTTCTTCCACTGCTTGATTGAGCCTGACACAAGGAAAGCATTCAATCGCACTCTTGGAGGGGAAGCAGCATAGAGAAAACCTTTCTCACAGCAAGAACTGATTTGTGTAAGAACTGCAATTTTGAGGTCGTGAAGGACACAATCAGGGTATTGTACTGGTGGCTCCTCATCGGAGCAGCCAGCTCGCCGGACGGTAAACAAGCTTCTAATGAAATAAAACCTTTGGGTGGTAGATTCTCTTGCTGTGACTAACAGGCCAAGTGCTTCCAAGAGTATATGTCACATTTGTCATCTCAGATGGGGGACCCTCCCAGCAACAAAACAATCTGAACGGTAGCAAGGAAGCCAGTTCTGAGCAGCAATCCCTGGTTCAGACACAATCCCAGCTTGGTCTAAGCTGGAGCTTTAGGCGCCCCTGCGGGTAAGGAGGATCAGCGGGGGCACCCAGGGGTCTGTCCAGGCCGTGGCTGCCTGCAGCCTATCTTCCCTTCTTGGAGTTCCTGGGGCATAAAGGATGCAACCCAATGAAATTCAAGCCCTGAATGCACACTTTTTATAGTAATAACCCACATATTTATAATAATAGACCCACAAAAGTTACATCTTGCAGCATCATTTAATAGGAACTCTAGGTTAAATGGTGGATCTACGTAAGTCAACCTGTTGCATTTCCCTTGAACCCATGCCCCAGCCATGGAACCATCAGGAAAGCCTGGGGGCCGGGCTCACCTTAGCACAAATTCTCCACTCAGATCCCTAATCACCAATCCACGAGCACCAAGGATGCAGAGAGGTAACAAGTGTGGCACTGCTCACTAGCTGTGTGTCCCTGGGCTAGTTATTCAACCTCTCTGAACCTCAATTTCCTCACTTGGAAAAGCAGGACAATACTACCTGCCTTGGCGAGGTGTGATGATTAAATGCTTGTGAAGCAACTGGTGTGTGTTTCACGAAGGTGGCAGCGGTGGTGACAAAGGTGACACCCCAGAGAGAGACAAGATGATTAAACTAAGAAGTATGGCACCATCAAGTGCTCAAGGCAGAAGACATGATCTCTAAAGAATTAACGAAGAATCCCTACTTCCCAGAAGAAGAAACAGAGACCCAGAGATGGAGCAGGACATGGCCATGGGCACAAAGCTCTGCCACCCAGTGCTTCTCTCTCAGAGAGGCAGGCAACTCCAGAAAGGGCCATGGGCACCCCTCTCCCTGCCAGAACTGAAATTCAGAAAGCCAAGACTCGCTGCTGTCTCTGTATTCAGATGGACGTAAGGAGGCTGCCCTAAAGTAGTGTCAGGGTACTTGTTGGAGGTTGTGTGTGTGTGTGTCCAGAGGAGATGGTCTGAAGAATCTGTTCTTGTCCCAGCACAGCCCGCATCTATCTGTCAGGAACTCCCAGAATCTCTAAGCAGGACATATATAGGGGAGGGAAGGAAGGTCTGGTGTCTTGCCCAGCTTGGAAGCCAAGAAACTTGGGCCTTGGCCAGTGGGGGCAGGGGACATGGCCACTTTCCTCTAGGACACAACTGTCCTGCCTGGGGGGGGGCATTAGCCTTTTAAAGAATCTGCCCCCTTGGAGGCATTGGGCAAACATTTAGACTGGGGACTCCCTCATCTGGTTTCTCCAAATATTCGTAGGTTGCGGGTCACCTGGCCACTTCCTGAGAGGGTAAATCTGGGGATGTCCCTGTCCATACAATCCCCATCCCCCCAGCACTGCCTGGGTGAAGTTGAGCATTGCTGGTGTGTCTGGAGGCCCCTGGTTCCAACTGGGGCCACTTCGACATCCAAGATGTTGGCAGGGGGGTGGCAGCAGAAAACGAGATCCTGTGTGAGCAACTCATGGTGAGCAATGCTGATCACCAACCAGCAGGATCTCAGCAAATCACAGCAACTCTGAGCAGGCTGATGGGGCAGGTATTGCCCGGGATGACAGTCTGGGCTCCCCTTCCTAAACCTGCAGCTGTCCAACCCTGCAGGCAAGTGGGAATCCTGTGCAAGGGAAAAAAGTTACCCGAGCTGGTGGGCACAGCTGGGGATGATCTGAGCTCCATCCAAACTTGAGGCTGTCCAATCCTGGACTCCAAATCACAGCCCCTTACGTGACTGGTTTCATTCATTCATATCAGCAGCCCAAAATCTTATTTTTATCAGCATCCTCATGATTTTGTCATTTAGTCACCATGGACTAAACTTTTCTGTGCCAGACACTGGGCTACAGGTTTCACATTAACATCGGATTTAATGCTCCTAAGCTTTCTGGGAGAAGCCACGGCCTTTCCCTCATTTCACAGAAGAGGTTACTGAAGGGAAGAGAGGTTCAGTGACCCACCCATGGCAGCCAGAAGTACAGCCTCCCTAGAAGCCAGATGTACTGACTCTACCAAGCTCAAGATAGTTCCACAGCAAAACCCGACTAGCACATCATCTTGTTACCATCCTGCCAAAGGCTTTCCCACCACAAACCAGGCGAGCTGGCTGCAGGGAGCTCCGATTCTGGGAACTGAGACAGAACACCATCCATAAGCCCCTGAGGCTCCACAACCACGCTGTTCCTCCGTCACCGCATCACCGGTGCAGCTCCTTCTTGTGCGCTAAGTGGCCGGAGGCCGCGTGCCAGTGCCAGGCCTGTGACGGGGTGGGGGGGGGGCGGGGAGGGCGCAGGCACAGCCGGAAAGGGCCTGGAAGAGCGGCTGATCCTGCTGGGGCCGCCTAGAAGACTGAGTCTGTACTTAGCTCTCGTGGGAAATAACAGCTCTGGTTTCTGCTAAAAGGATTCATTCCCAGAACACAATAATTTTCATCTCCTCCTAACTACAACCCATATTTTTTGGCTAAATATACGCCATAATGAGCCACTGGCCTGATAGCGTCGTTAAGGAGATATTTGACCTCGGGTTTAATTGCAGGATGGAATAAATGGCTGGGACGCTCGGAAGGGGCCCTACCAGCTCGCAGGCAAGTTCAGGGCTCAGCATCTGGCATCTGCCAGCCCTAGAGAAAGTGGTGCGGGTGGAGAAAGCAGCTCCCGCAGCGCCCGGGGAGCTGAGACGCGTGAGGGCGCAGGCGCCCTGGAGCAGCCGGGCGCAGTCTATGGCTAGAGCTGCTCCTGGCAAACACCGGTGTGGCCGGATTAGGGAGCCCCCTACCCCTGGGAAGTGCCCCTTTCCAGACTTGCTCCCTCTTCAGCTTGCCCGCCTTCCTTTCAAAGCACCAGGAGAAAAGGCCAACCCCACCCTCTTGAACAAACGCAGGGCCGGCTACCTGGGCGCACATCTTTTCACCAAAGGGACATCTTAAACACAGGTGTGAAGCGTATCTGTGTCTATCCCTCCGGCCAGGCCAATGCCCAGAGGGAGCGGGAATGAAGACCAGCCCTGACACCTGCTGAAGGTTATTCAGAGAATGAAACCCATACTGGAGAACAAATTATTGCTCACAGCGGAGCATGGCGGCTGGCCCAGCTGGAGGGGCTCCACGGAGCAATCAGGAGACCAGGCCTCCCACCCCGGGTCTGCAACTCCAGCACTTCCCTACGGAAAACACCGACCAGACCAGTCGGAGCCTGTGGCCTCCGCCGCCGCCGGGAGGAGAGGGGATGCATTCAGGCCTCGGGCTGTGCCGGCGTTTAGCGCACCCACCCCTGTCTCTTCTCAGATATTTCTCTGGGCTGCTCAGTGTCAAGGCTACACAACACGTCAAGGGAGTGTCAGCGGTACGCACGTGTTTGACAAATTCATAGTTCGCTCAAAGAACGGGGTGCCCGATAACTTTGACTTAGGTGCACTTCATTCTGTCTGGGCCGTTCTCATTTGGGAGGGAGATGTGTTAGGGACTCGCTGTATCTGATAGAAACTATTATACTGCTATTCCGAAAATGCACCTACACACCTAGGTTTGCACCTTCTACTTCCACTTCAATGTCCTTTATCGGGAGTTAAAAACGCAGTCCTTAGCCCTCCCACTGCTTGACCCACTCTGTTACCCAAGACCCTGGAAGTAGCCCCCAGGCTGACCCTTGACTGGGGGCAGCAACCTCCCTGTCCCCAATCAAGGGGTCTGCTGGTCTCCTCTGAGGTGGCAGGCAAGAGAAAGTGGGAGAAAGTCCTCAAAGAAATGCCCATGTAACTCACTCCATACGCTTCGAGCATTGTGGCTTTGTCGGCCTCGGAGTAGGAATGAACCACCCTCGGAACAACTCTCCTTCCAGTGGGGAGAAAGTTTACAGGCAGGACTTTAATTTCGACTAGTAACTATCTCTATCGTGCATTTGTGAATGCAAATTCCTCGATGTCTCCTCTTCCCTGTGAAAGTTTTGTTTCCTGGGATGGACTGGCCTCTTTA